GCTGCTGTTGCTGCTGCTCGGCGCTGCGAGCGCGCGACGGAGGGACGACACCACCATCACCACGCACACCATATCGCGCAACACGCATCACCGGAGAAGTGCACGCGCCACGCGAGCGAGCGATCGAGCGGAACGTATGCGCGAAACTCGCGCAAACGCAAGTGTCATACGGTAAATCGGCTGCGTGCGCGCACGCACGCATGCACGCACGCACGCACGCACGCACGCACGCGGAAACAAACGGGGCACACGAGTGAGCTCTCCGGGATCATCTCGTTTCGATTCGCGTTGAAGCGCGAAACGTCAGACGGTGTCGCAGGACGGTTTCGAATCGCTCCGGATTCCTCGAGATCGTCGAGATCTATCCGCCTCTCTCTCTCCCCCTTACAAACCTCCGCTGGATCGTGTGTCGCCGCCCTGACGTTCGACGGGTTGACGACCGTCACCGCGATAGATCGGCCGGTGTGGGTGTCTTAACGCAAGACCTTTTGGAAAATCGCGACGTACACGTGAAAAAAAAGTGAAGTGCCTCCGAGTGCATGACAGAGAGTGCGACGGTTTTTACCGTTTGACGTCGTAGTATTGTTCGCGATCGCCGTTCACGCGCGTTCACCGGCAGTTTTTCGCGCGAGATGACGCCGTGGTTGTCGCTGCGTGAGCAATCTGTGAACGATAACAAAGTCGGTTGGAATCGTGGAATCTTCAGGTAGACAGAATACTTTCGAAAAGAATCAACGGATCGTGTTGTTTTTCTGTAGATCTTAGCCGACATCTAACGCTTGAAAAACTGAAGAATCTTAGCAGAAACGAGAATAATATTTGGCAGAATCATCGCACGTGTGAAAAAGTGAAGTGACTTTGATACCTTTGACAAGTATCTACAATTACATTCGGACGATAATCGAAGAACATACACGTCGGTCTGCTGGTGATTTTCTTCAAGTATGATCGGTTTTGCATATTTCTCGTATAATTTACTTCGCGATTATGCGTCTCTATCTATCGGCAAGTTCAGAATAATGAAGAAGTGAGTGACGAGAGGCGATTTGTAGCCGACAATTGCCGATAATTTTATTTCGAGCGATCAACGCGCCGATTGCCGAAGAACATAGTGCCAGGATTTCGCATCCTTCTCTAACAGATTGATCGAATTCGAGGAATCAAGCGGACGATTTCGACGTGTGTGGTGCGCCGACCGTGGAACACTTGAGTCGGCTCCGTCGTCGTCGTCGTCGTCGTCGTCGGCCGCTCACGGATAGGAAACCGGCAGGGTGGTTCGAGGCGGGACGGTAGGCGCGGACGCCCTGGCGACTGCCGGGGTGGTTTACCCGGCCGCGACGGCGACGTTGTTCCCTGGCCGGGTGCCAGCCGGACACCACCACCCCGAGTTCACCACCACGTTGGAGCTGGGGTTCCCGGCGCGCGGCACCACCGCCTCGATGGCGTTGGTCGCGCCGCCGCCCTCTTGGGCTTCGCGGGACCCCGGGGCCGCCTTGGGCGCAGCCGGCGGCGGCGGCGGCGGCGGCGGCAGCGGGCCCCTTCAGGTAGGCCCGCCGCCGCCGATGCCGCCCGCGCATCTCACGCCCTCGGCTACGCCGGAGGACATCACCTGCCTGGTGCCCGCCGGCTCGGTGCTCACCTCGAGGGATCCCTTGCCGCCCAGCACCACACCCGGCAGCCAGGCTAACAGTTCGCAGTCCGGCAGCTCGCAAACGGACAAATCGCCGAACATCGAGTGCGTCGTCTGCGGGGACAAGAGTAGCGGCAAGCACTACGGACAGTTCACTTGCGAAGGTGAGTGTTTCATTCGCCATGTCCTTTGGGCTTAAGGGAAAACGGCACAAAAGAGTGCCGGCGTGACACGATCGGGGAGTAATTTAACGAGCATGCGTTCCATTCACTAATGACGTATTCGACGATCACGAGAATTAACGTCGCGTCGACCGTTGAGTACATCTTCGATGATCATGTTGATCGTTGAGTGTGATAATACGCGGATACCAGTCAATGAATGCGAGATTGAGCGAATCATGATGACATTTCATGGTTCGTGGGGCGAAACGATAAGCGAATGGTAGTTGGAGGTAAATTTAGTTGCAAGTGAAAACTCGCACATCGAGAAAAGTAATTTTGATTTCGTAATTTTATCAAGCATATTGAGAAAAGGAAAGAATTTATGCAGCGCCGACTCTAAAACATCAGATAAAAACACGATAAATTGAATATATAAGCGATAATTATAAAAATAAATAAGTATTCCGCAATCAAAGACAGATATCTGAAATTTTGTCGAAGATATTTCGCGAACGGTAGCACAAGGCGCGTTGAAACGACCGCACGGCGAGGATCGGCCGACCGTCGAAATCTCTACCAGCGAGGTTCTCGCGCGACGTTTTTTTTTCTTTCCTCCACGTGGAGGAGCGCCGGTGATGCACGCGTGCACGCCCTTTCGACGACTGTTCTTTCTGTCGCGCGGGTATCGAGGGGAGCGAAGGGTATCCCTTTACCTGTGCCACCAATTTGTCACCGCGCGAAGGCAGAGCTCATTCGCATCAGAATGCCCGACGCCTACCTTAATGCTCGCGCTTACATTAATTTATTCGAGGCGCGCGTGAGAGAGAGGGAGGAGAGCGGAAGCGGGGAGATAAAGAGGGAGAAAGCAACGGCGAAATCGCGGGTTAATGAGAGAAAGAAAGCGGGATACGATGCTGCGGTGATAGAAGGAGGCGGGGAGCAGAACGGAGGCAGAGAATGAAGGAGGGGGACGGAGAGGAGAAGAGAAAAAGAGTACACCGTGGCCATCGGGCGTGGAGAGTACGAAAAAACAAAGAGTCACCATTAATAACCCAGTGGGGTGTTCCCCGGAACGCTTACACGTCTGTTACGAGCCTAATAACGATGTAATAGGGCCGAGGAAATGAAGCGGGAGGAACGAGGACGGACGCCGAAAGGGAGAAGCGGGCGCGAGAGGGAAGGGTTTATCCCATTCTGGCGCCGATGATGACGGGGTTCGGTTCCGATGGAATGAGAAACAAATTGTTTTCACGGGCGGAAACAAATCCCAGCAGGTCGCCGAGAACGTGAGCGCGCGCGCGCGCGCGAGTGCGAGCGAGTGAGCGGCGAATTATCGCGCGTATAAACCGTAGCGACTAATTATCCATCGGCCAGATGTATCGAGGATAACTAATTAGCCGGCCGCGCCGCTTGTCGTATCGCGCCGACGAATCTCGCGATTTGTCGATACACGGAAAGCAATTTGGATAATACGGATGTCGAGATAAGTTTTATACCTTCCGAGTTATCATCAAACCGCGTGTGCAAATCTCGCGAGTGAAAAATTGAACCGGGTATTAAATTAACTCCGGTAGTTTGTAATCGAGCATTTAGTAATGTAACATACATGTTGTTCAAATGAGAATTCATTTTCTCTCGTTATGAAAACAGATTATTCGTAAGTAAAGATGTATCGCGTAAATTTTTTTTTCCAACTAAAAAAGTAACTTAAAAGGAAACAATTAACGGCACTTTAGCTTCTGTAAAAAATTTCGATGAGATTAAAAAACTTTTATGTCTTCTTTGATAGAGTTTTTTTTTATTAAGATATATTATTTTTAATTGAGAGATGAATATTTTATACGTGTTCGTTGAGATACTTAACAGCGGCGAAATTTGTGAAGAAGCTTTTTGATTTCGGCGTTTTCTTACGCAGCAACATTCACTCTCGTGTTTGCGACGGAGAACAGCTGGCACGTCCGTCCGTTAAATCATTTATATGCAGGCTAAGGATCGAAGTCTCGAGACGAGAAGAGGGGTAACGAAGAGAAATGTCGCGACTCGGCTTGGACAGACGGACGGACTCGGGTTAATCGAAATCTACAGCACCCTCGGAAATCAGGAGTTATATATCCTCCCGCGTCTCTCTCCCGGCCCTCTCTCGCACGCCCTATTATCCCGAATTACGCCTTATTGATACCAGATTGCCCGCGGTAATTTATATCTCGCGGGTGATTTACTGCACTTCGAGAGTCTTGATTAATGACACGCGGCTATCTGCGGTTTCTTCTTTTTTTCCCTCTTTCCGTGCGTTCTCATCTCGCTAGATGCGTCGACGCCGCAACATGATGCGTGAAAATGTTAATCGCAAAATTATTATAACTATGTATTTATTAATCGCATAAAAAGATCGAAATTATTTGACACTTTGCACAGATGACATTAATATTTAATGCAACTCATCGGCACTTTTGCCGCAATAAATTTTTATAACGATTGTCGATTGTGAATATCTAAAATGTTAATTAACGTGTGTCTGCGAGGAAAAAAACGAATTATGATATCTGTCATAAAACTTTTTTCTGCAGTTCGAAACTTGTCAGAGATCACGCACACATGTTTACACATACGCGTGTTTTAATATAGAAGCAATCTAAGATTCACGTGGTTATCTGCGTTGATACGCTTCAGGTTAATCATTTTAACGCAAATGAATTTTGTAATAGCCATTCTTATCGCTCGGGATGATAATTAGATGATATCTGCTTTCTATTAAGGCGAAGAATACATTATCCTTCGTCGAAATTATTTTTATCCGGCGTTAAAACAGTGCGTTCTGCTTTCGTGCACTCCCGAGGGATATCGCGCCGTCCGTCGCCGCCGGACCGACAAGTATAGCAGCGCGACCGCTATCCCATGCGAGTCCATAACATTCTTCCATTTACCGCACATTATCCCTCTCGCCGCGATGCGGTTCCGCATTTCTGCGTTTAGCATTCATCCATCGCTCGCTAGACGTTACCGCAGGATCGGGGTCTATTTGCGGTAACCGACAGCGCGAGGATCAAGCTATTGAGATCTCGTTAAGGTTCAAACCCCGGTGTATTGCCCTCGACGGAGACGAGGCCGTGCGTGGGATCTGGCACGTAACACGCATGGAAATCACGGGATATTCTGAAGCGCGGAACGCCGACCGAGCGTGCGATGACAGGATAGACAGATAGATGGATACGTTCGATGACGAGTCCCGATCGATTCGAATGGATAGAAAAAGTAGTTATTTGTGGCGGGACCGGTGCTGAGATTGGAGATGTCCGCGAAATACCTAGCATTTCAGCGAAATAATATGGGAACGAGTACAATCATTGTCGTTTCGTTATTTGTGAGCAAGCGGAGAATAATAATATACGGAATTTCAGGTCAATCGTAACAATTTTCGTAAATTTTACATTGCTCATTACAGAACTATGTTGAGATTTTAGGACTAATATATTTTATTCAAGTTTTATTTTATTACGATTGATATTTTTAATCTTTTCAACGAATGTAATTATGCTTTTTCTCGTGCTTGAAATATGATACTATTCTTTTCTCTTCAATTGGCTTTAAACTTTCTTACGAAGACAAGATATATATTTTTTTATCTTTAAATTACAATTTTTACCATTTTATTGATATATTTTATATAATATTGAGTAGATTTATAGAAGCAACATTTTATAAAATACGTCTTCTTCTGTAAACAAACTAATTATTACATAGCTTTTCGCACTACGGACAGTATGATCCACAATTTAGGAATCTATTTGGCATTAAAAAAAACTCAAAACGCTGCAGAGATTAGCGAGGCTGTCAGGCAATTAAAGCGCGTCGGCGCGTCGCTCGGCGTTGCCACAGCATGCGCTTGCGATAATTGCTTCCGTGTACAATGTGTAAACCGTTTCCGGCGGCTCGCGCGCGGCTGAACCGCGTGTAATCTGTGCACCGTGTAACGACGAATTTCACGAATTGCCCCGGTCACGTCGGCCAGATGTCGGCCGACCACCATCATGCTCGCTCATTCGCTCGAAGCACGCGGAAATGCATCCGTGGGGCTGCAACCAACCTGCCGCGTTACGTTTCCCGAAGGGCCCGTTCTCGATGTGCGAGATAATTGACGGTTAGGACTGTCGGAAGAGCCGGCCGACTTTATTCGATGAACGAGTTAGTTACAGCCGGCTATTAATCTGCGGACGCTCATAATAAATTGGTCGCATTTTTAAGAAAAGAAACAATCTAACAGTCTTCACACGTTTTTCGTGTATGAAGCAATCAAAGATACATATTAATTTGACAACGCTTAATTTATCATAACTGTACATTATCTGCGTCCGATAATTAAAGTGCGAATATCTGACAAAAACTATATTTACAAATATAAAATATTTGTTTTGCAAAAGAGTTGGTCATTTAACGATGTTGCTTAACCGGTTGTTCACTCGTACACGCGGCCACAAAAATGCCGGATCATTATTTATTTCTTCATAAAATGAAGTATTCATGAAGTTTTAACTTTTTAAGCAACTTACCAAGATTTTTGTATTGAAAAAAATGTATTTGCTTAATTTTCGCATCCAGATTGAATTGTTCCCAGCGCCACTTCCGTCGGGGTCGGTCGGTCGGTCGCGTAGCGGAAACTGTCGCTAAGATACGACTAGATATCCTAATGAACTCGAGCTTCTCTAATTACTCGTCCTGCAATGCGCCTGACCCGTCGGAATTCCTTAAGCGAGACGATCGTCTTTATGCATCCGCCGATCTTCTCGTGAACTCCAACACATCCTTTCAAAGGATTACCTCGTTCTTCACGGCGTTTGCCTTTTTATTTAATCGCCGAATTAAGAAATATTTCTTCCTTCAATTTTTTCAAACATATTATTATAAATTGTGTTATCTTTTACACTAGATATATCATAAATCAACAACATTTATTACAAAAGTGCACGAAATACGGATTGAAGAAAAACTTTGAGGACGCGTTC